AGGGAGGAGAGGGAGGGAAGGGGAGGAGGGGTGGGGGAGAGGGAGGAGAGGGAGGGAAGTGGAGGAGGGGTGGGGGAGAAATTAATCAAGTGCTGTACACTCAAACAAGTCTTCATTTTTTTCCTATAGATTGTAAGTGTTTTTACACCCCCCATTATCATTAACACAATTTAGATCATAGAAAGGTGGAAGGTGTTTGCCCGTGGCCTATACCCTGGTGCAGGGTGAGAAAGGCAATGATGAGGAGGCTGGCTTCAACCCGTGCATGTCGAGGCCAACCACGGCTGAGAGAACAGAACTCAGGTCTCCTGCCTGAAACAGCAAAGCCCCAAACCTCTACACCACAGACACTGGTAAACGGGTTCAACACAATGGCAATTTGCCTTACATTGATATTACACTCAACTGCAGTAAAACATGCACTTAATACAATTATCATCTTTTTTTTCCATTTAGAAAATCCAGTATAAAATAGCTTCATAAATTCCGCGGTTTGGCTTTTTCAAAGAATTATATATATATCGTCATCTCCGAACTATGTTGTTCAAAGCGCCTATTTACTTTAGTACACTTTGGACAAAATTGTTCTGAGGCGACGATATATCAAAAATTTATTCATGAGGTTCTTCAACAATTTTCTGTTTTACCACTTTCATCTCATTTTTGCTTCTTTTTGTATCATAGACTCAAGTCTCTACCAATTTTATCATTTCCGAGCAGTCCTGGAAGTGGAAACAAGTGAAAAAATCACAGATTAAATTTAGCTAACGTTGTTGAAGAATTAATGGATTTAAAAGAACTAAGGTTGCCGTGCAATCGTCTTACCATATCTCTGGTGATTTTATTCTTTGCATCCAGTTCATCTAAATCTGCTTGGGACCTGCGTTTCTCTGGCATGGAGAGAATCAACAAAACACTTGAGCCTCAGTATGGGTACATTTTTCTCAGCACCATTAATAACATTCATCACAATGAAAGGGCTGGTGTCTGAGATGTAATACTTGGGTTCTACACCTTGTATGCAGAGAAGTAAGTTTGATTTCTGCATTGGGGGGGGTCCCATTTTATCCTGTATTTTGTCTTCCTGCCCGGGCCCTGAGTACCACTCACCAAAGTTTGGCTCTGACAAGTAGAGTTCAAGGAACCTGCCTCCTAGATGATCTAATCTGTGTCATTGGGGGTGTAAACCATTTGCAACCATCCATCATAGTATAGAGAAAAGTTGTCAGTCTTACAGGAGAGATATTGTGGTGCACGAGGGGCATCCTACCAGCAGGAAGAGGTGTAAAGCTCTGGAAAGGTCACAAACACTAATACATTTTGAGTTGAAACATTATAAAAGCTTTCATTCTTTCTTTCTTCCTTTCGATATCTCGCCACTTAGATGTAAACTTTCAAAAGAATCAGTCTCAGAGCCAAAGTACTCCCGCTTGAATAACATTTAAGTGCACACACCACCAATTGACCTAAGGCCCGAGGGTTCTTCGACCCCTACAATGATTAACTGAAATTCATAGGTGGGCATAAGCTTAAAAATCAAGGGGCCTGGTACACTTTCAATTACTCATCTCCATCCATAGGAGCAGAGAACCAAGTAAGGACTTCTTTATGCAACACTCCCATTCCTTACACTGAGGGCAGCTTCAGTTGAGAAAAGGATTAACACGATCATTTCAATAATGTTATGAACCCAAGATATCAAGTTCACTAAAACGCTTAGAGACTTAAAAGCTAGCAATAATTCAACTTTTTAACGATTGTCTCTTTAAAACAAGACCTCCACCTCCGACACCCCTCTGATACAAAACCAAACTACACACAAAAAGAAAATTTGTGATCTATTTCTTCCAAGAGTCGAACACAGTCAATGGGTGACATTTTATCAAAGCTCTCACCAGGCTTGTCCTTGAGGTAAGCTTCCACCAAGTTGTTCACAATATGGTTTTTGTTGATGCGATCGACTTTCAAGCGACACTTGACAAGAGAAATTGAAAAAAAAATTTATAATTTTTTAACAGTGATCTCACACCAAGAGCTCACAAAAACTCCAACTTTTATCTTCTCTAAAGCAAATTTAACTTTTGGCTGGAAAACCTACTGAAATCGTAGAATACAGCTGAAGAACACAGTACACCAATGGAATCACATTAAAACACTAATTCTTAAGAGTTCTCTATCTTAATATGTAAGTAAAAACAACCTTTAAAATTCTCATTTGAGTACAACTAGGTTTTAATTAAAATAAAGATTTTGTCTACTGTCATCATTACAATATCAAACAGATGTTCTCATCTTGAGCGTATACTGACTGAGTGTGCAACTGCTTCGGTCTCTGATTCAGATATTTATTCAGAAAACAATTACCATTTAAAACATCTCGTAACTTTTCAAAAATGGACATTTTTTGTCATATTTGACATAAAAGCAATCATCTTATTAACATTGACATAATGTCATGATCTGATTTTTTATCTTATTTCCCTCTTTGGACTCGTTTAAGGTAAACAGCAGAGATATATTAACTCTTTCCCTCCCACACCATATTCTCATTGTGACCAAACTATTTTTGTGATATTTCTCCTGTCACATAGTAATTATATAAAATATTATTTCTTCCTAACCTTTTACAAAGCCTGAAATATATGTCAAAATGTTGAAAAAATATTTTCTTATTAGACAATACAAAAAGAAAAAAAGGAAGCTTATAATATGTTATACTTTAAAATGAAGAAAAAGTAATTTCTTATTTGACTTTTTTTTTTTTTTTTAAGCAATTGGAGCTAAAATATATTGTGTTTTTTGTGAGTCAATTGACTCTGGAAAGAAAGTAATTAAGAATTTGTGGAGCCATGAAATACTGCTCACAGTCATAAAGCGCTGGTCAAGCAAAACACATTTTGCGATTCCCTGTGGAGCCTGAGTTACATTCTACATAAAATAATGGGTTTTTTTCATGTTCATTCTTTATTTCACATCTCTTACATTTCCAAATGATTCTTCATAGCCATGAACAGTCCATTTTCTAAACACAGTGGAATCCGCTTAAACTGATCTTAGGTTAATCGAAAACAGCAGTCCCGCGCCCTGCAGATTTCAGTTTAAGCGGACTCCACTTTATTAGCAAATGAAAATCAAGACTTACTGATGGGCACTCATTTGACCTCTCCATCCACTCTGAGTAGCAGCCAGAACAGTAGGAATGCATGCACGGCTGCAAACTGAACACACAGCAAAACAGGAATCAGTGGCAGGGAAACAATGTTTAAATACTGACACCAAGCAAATGTTCAATTTGGCGACTGCGTAAATGTTCAATTACAAACACTGAGCAAAATCACCAATACCTACACTGAGTCGACATTCAATTCCTAACACTGAACAAATGCTCTAGACTCTAATACTCACACTGAGCTAAAGTTCAAATCCTGACTTTGAGCAAATGTTCAAATACTACAACTGGGCTTAAGTTCAAACGCTGACACAAAGTAAATGTTCAAATAAGCACACTCAGAATTTCTTTTAACATAGAAAATTCTTCCTGAAAATATTTTAAGGGTGGTATAGACAAAGTTTCAGAAAGAAATGCTCAAAATACTAGTTTCCAAGTTTGGTAAAAAAATGATACTCTCATATATTTAGTAAAAGGAGACCAAGCTTATAGTTTTTATTTTTTTTAAACCATCAGGGCAGTTCCCGTGCTCAGACCTGATGCAGTCATGAAAGAGCTCCTGGCAAATGATACAGATCAGGCTCTCCGCAATCGCATCTGACTCTGGTTCCTGGGGAACTCCAGATTTGCCTTCTGGTACTGGAGAGAAAGAAAAAAATCTGGTAAAACTTGAGCTTCTTTTCCTCCCTGTAAATTCAAACTGAAATTAGCATGGCTATTTTTTTCCCTAAAAGAAAAACAACCCCAACTTATTTGGAGTTTTTCCTTCATATTACGAATTTCTTTCAGCACTTCCCCTTGACTTTCAGATTAAGCATTAGCCTTCACAGTTATTATTTCTGCCGTCTGTGGTGAAGCGGTTAGACACATCACATTTGCATGTAGAAAACTTGAGTTCAACACCCATGTGAGGAAAATTTTTATCAAGTATCTCTGTCTTTCTGTTGGGACCTTGTATCCCTCTCAGCCTTTGTTGGCCCCAATAGGCAGGGTCGAAGATCACCCCCTGAATGATCTAACTTGTGTCAATGGGAGCATTAAAACACAAACATTCTTTTTACAAAATTAAACAGTCATTATTATCACCAGGAAAAAATAAAGATCACTGGAGAGCATTATTTAACCCTTCCTGTTAGGAATTTTCTTAAAAACCAAAAACCCCTCAGAAAATTAAGTCGCAGGTCCATCTTCACAATTGAATTCATTACAGTTGGCTGAAAAGGCACCTTAAAAGAATTTTGAGAAATTTCTCTGTGACTGTCTTCAAACTTGCCCCATACACTATATACAAAATATACTCTCTCTTTCCATTTAAAAAAATAATAACATTGAATTCCGTGCTGTTAATGGATTAATTACTTATAAATCCAGAACCAAATTAAGTATACAACAAACCAGAGGAAGTGGAAGAGACTTCTGCGGTTTTCGCAGTCCCAACACCAAACTGGCTGTCATTTGAAGTTTCTTTTGCATCTTTCTTTTCATTTTTCAGAGGTTCTTCTGCTGCTGCCTTTTCTGAAAAATCAACAAACGAACACAAAACCATTACCTCTGTTTCCAAAAAACACCCTTTAACTTGAACTGTAACACTTTAAATAACAATGAAAAAAATTAATGAGATGCACTTATTCCTTTGAATTGCATAGTTGATGTCTAACCAACAAGAAAAAGATTAAAAGGGAGTAAAGTAAGAAGACTGACTTCTAAACAAGACTTGCCATGTTTGGAAAGCTGGAAAACATGCCTTAGACATGTGCCAGAAGTATCTACAGACCAAAATAAAATGAGGGAACAATTTAATGTAAAAAGATATATATATAGCTTTTTTTCCAAATTCACTAACTTTAAAGAAGTATATGAGACAACAGCCTTTGAAATGATCAAGCTACTGTCTCAAAATGGGCTTAAAACATTTACAACTATAAACAACAATACCACTGATGACTCTTTCTTTAAGATAATGACCAACAACAACAACAACAACAACAACAAAAAAAACAACCCCAAAAACAATTTTTATTCAAACCTGGAGATGGGTCTTCACATGTCTGTGAACGCATTTTCTTGTTAGTTACATGAGGGCTGCTGTCATCACTTTTCTGTAAAGAACAAGGGAAGCATTTGTTACAGTGGTTCACTTTTATTCATCCAATTTCAGTCTCGGTATTCAGAACCTATTTCTTATTTCACTTCCAGCAATTGCCAAAGTTGTTTCTTCCAAGATTCCAGCAAAGCCTGCCAAAAATCTGTGGAGAAAATTTCACTGACCCCAAAACTCAAGATCAATTATAAATCTTAAACTGCTGGTACATGGCCCTTTTGTGAGTGTATGCATTGTTCTAGAGGGCATTCAATTCCAGACATTTTTCACTAGAGAGTTTTCAGATGGCTTAATTTGGTGATGAGAGCTTAAAGAGGTCATTTACCTTTTTTTTCCTTTGGCTACCAACGAACTTCAAATCCCTAACCCAAAATCTGATGAGTTATGCCTGCTTGAAAATACTTTCATAGTGTGAGGCAGAGACAGATTGATTGTAGATGTTTAATAGGTCTATCAACACCATTTCAATCATTTTGGAGGCAGGCTGCTTTTCCCCTGCCTGACATTGCCAACCAGAGCTGAGAGGGATAAAATATCCCAGCAGGAAGGAGGATATATACTCAATCAATATTCTTCCCATAAGGGAATTGAACTCATGTCTACTGCTTGCAAAAGCGAAACACCTAACCACTACACCACAGATGCCAGAAAGCAGAGGATATACTCACAGCACTTAATAAAGTTTTGTTAAGAAAAAATTACAATAGGTGTCATATTTGCAAGTGGCCAGTACAGAAAAAAGGAGCCTACCAGTATAATAATAATAATTAATTCAGTGACATCTGTAACATCTCAGAGAAGCAAACCCTGATATAGATCGGTCTTGCATATTTCCAGCCTCTGTGCTTTTGTACTTCTTCACTGACCTGCTTTTTATCCCAATCCTTATTAACTGCACCTCAAGAGTTCACCACAAGAAGCTAAATGTAGTCATAAAAAAGGAAATAATTATAATTCCTATTCCTATTAACAATTAAGAGACTCATTTCTATCAGTAAACGCACAATGGATACTCACTCGCTTCTGGGTTGGAGGGCTTGAAGTCGATACCTCATTGATATCATCATCTACAACAACAAAATTAAAGAGTATAAGATTTGTAATAAATGATAGCAACAATTTTTATTTTTCTCAAAATGATTTTATGTGACACAAAACAGTGGAATCAGGCGCTCGTCAATCTTTGGGCATATTGGTATCTTATCTTGAATAAATGTTGAGATATTTGCAATTGAAGAATGTGGAGGGTTGCCTAATGTAAGAAGTAAAATTGGGAGAAAATGGCTGCCAAATTTTCGTAACTTCCAAAGCTTGAGTGTCCTTGGAAAAGGCAAATTTATATTTTTTGTGCTTTTGATAAACTTTTGAAAGTAAAATCCACATAGGAATTTGTTCCTAAATAGACATAAAAGGTTTGAGCCAAAAAAACAACAACAACAAAAACCACCAAGAAAAATTCAATAAAAATTGCTCAACAGGTGCAAAAATGCCTATTTCTTCAATTTCATTATTTTTAATGAATGCCTGATTTCACCAAAACGCAACACATATTGTCTTTGACGTGTCCATTGTGATTTTTCTCCAAATCTTTGACTTCTTTTTTTTGATAATTGTAAAAGCATACTCAGAATAAGTGAAATGTTTAAAATATCAACATTTACATCTTAACTCAAGTTAATCGATTTATACATTTGCAATTATAAACATAACATGACTATGGTAAACTTGTGTCACCCAAACAATGATACTCTTTGATAGGCTTGATGTATTTCCTCTAAAAACCAAAGGTTTATAAGGCAAATAAAGGAAAATTACAGATTTGGAGTCATACCAACTATCGTAGAATCAGCATCTGCAATGGGTTGGGTGTACTCTTGTGTCGATTCCTCCTCAAGGTCAGAACTGGTCTCGGCCCTCAAGGCTTCTATATCTTGAAATATGTAGCCAATGTCTGGCAAAAGAAACACATTTTAACGTGTGCTATGTTCTGTTTAGGAAAGAGTAGATAAGCACAAACATTTTTTGTTTATGTACACTCATTTTATTTTCTTCACTGCATTTGTAAAATTTTCACAAGGTACCGGTAAACAAAAATTGTCATTTAACTCTTTCAATGTCACATGTAAAATAGGCCCCGAATAATGATAAACTGATACCAAAAAAAGGGGGAATATGTGTTGTGAGAGTGTTTGCAGGAAAAGAAGAAGTGACAAGAGGCTTTTCCTATTTTATACAACACTCGTACAATCCATATATATATATATATATATATATATATATATATATGTGTGTGTGTGTGTGTGTGTGTGTAAGCTTATCTCTGTTTAATGCCAGTAAATCATTCTTGTGCAGTAGATGTTTATAATATTTAGATCTAGATTTAATCTTCTCTTCAAGCTAAAATCTGAATCAGACGCTTTCAAATGGGGGTAAAATGGAGGCAAACAAAAAGGGAAGGTTTCTAAATAATAATTACAAGATTTTAGCAGTAAGTTCCCTAATAATTGGAATCAAAACAACCTCTGTCACAGTCCCATAAATTCTATGGGCCATAGGCACAGCGCTACACGGTCCAGGCTCTTAAATTCTACGAGTGCGGCAGCGAAGAGGTTAAAAAACAGCCCAACCCTATGCAAGGAGCCCCAGAACTCTACAGGAGTCTCAAGGACCTGAAATGAACAGAAGCCTTCGCACTAGAGACTGGGATGTCCATTTAAAGATGAACTAGAAGAAGAAGACAAACAGTCAAAGTTCACAGGAGGAATATATATATATACATTAACAAAGAGTGACAAAAATATGAAATACAAGTATTCAAAAGTGAACCCATGTTTTCAAAAATCACACACTCACTGAGCCACCAACATAAGCAAACACATGCATAGGGTTTGTTCTCACCATCCTCTGGACTGTTCTTCTTGTGAACAATGTGAAACTCATCTCCATGTTTGAGTTCCCGACACTGTAAAATTATGCAAAATCTTGTTATAGCATTTGCACTTTTTTAAAATCCAGCATTCACACAGTACTGATACATAACTGTCTGCTAAAATATTAAATCAGTCAACTATAATTTAATGTGTAATAACACAGATTAATTTAATTGCAGGCTCCTAAAAGCATAATCAAAGAATTATCATTTTTCACTGTACAAACTAAATGAACTCAAAGCAGTACTTGAAATACTTCTCTAAGTATACCGTGGCTTCTTTTAAGAGCATAAAACAATTACATAAATTTTGAAAGTATGATAGGTCACATCAAAAGCTTCAATACTTCCCACTATTGAAACTGAAACAAACAAAGAAGTTAGTTATTGGAGATGATTTCTCTCACAGCTCTGAGCAATAGTACAAGACTCCTTTTTTCAAATGAAATACTAGACCAACATTAATGGGTTGGGTGTTTTTTTTATCTTACGAAGGCAGTTCCTTTACATTATATTGTCAGAAACTGTAACTGAACCCAGTTGATCCGATTTAGTAGGACAGAATTAGCATTATAAAAGGCGTAATGTTATGTGGTCCTTCAAACACTTTACTCGTCAAACAATCAAAAACAGAATGCAATCCCCAATAACTCACCTCTCCTTTGATAAGTTTGATGTTCATATTCAGGAGAGTTCCATTTGTGCTGTGGGTTCAGGGACAAAGACAGAAGAATCGTAACCAAACATCCTGGCATCATTTTATCATATTTGCAACAAAAAGAAAATGCTTTATTCCAAAAAAAGAAAACTACATCTTTCCTTTTCATTATCTTCAGCAACACTCAAGAACAGAATTTGCAAATTTTCACAGAATTCCATCAGAACATACAGACTTTAAACACTGAGGTTGGATAAACTTGGATATAATGAACACGTGATAACAGATTTTGCTATAGGCTTTGTATACATACAATAAAATGTCCAGCAGTTTTCAACAGAAACAGATCTAGCAGGAAAATAAAACCACTTTCTATTCTCTTTCTACATTTTTCTCAAACTGAACATAAACTGTACTAAAGCAGGTCCATGATTATACAGCACAAAACAAATTTCGACAAACCATAGAATACAACAAAACTCTGCATAGATTATTATGAGTCTCTGTTTTTAATATTTTTTTAAAACAGGCACTGTCAATGAATTCACTCTTCCTTCATTTATCTTAATCTTGCTAGAATGTCAGCATGATAGTGTTTTAGCCCCAGTAAAATAGCAGCTTGCACTGTGTACTTCCCGGGAAGTTGAGATTGTTTCAGAATGCTGTTAAGTATGCTGGGGTAATAATTCCAAATAATATAAGATTGTAAAAAATGTGCATAGAGCTTGCTGTTGAGCTGGAATTTACTGTCCTATTATCTTACTGAATCTGACTATTTCCATCCTACAATGAAGAGGAGATCTTTGAGTGTGGATGGCCACAAAACTGATCTTTCACCTTGTGTCATAAAGCCAAACTTGTCCATCCTTGTCTCTCTCCAGATAACAATGCTTCCCAGATACAAGCTTGTTGCCAACAAAAGGTAAATCGCAATCTGAAAAATGGTAATAGATACAATTTTCATATTCTCCCTTTAATGAGGAAAAGGTCAAATACATTAAAATATGTATCTTATCTTTTAAAAGTGAGGTTTTCTTCACATATGGCCCATAACTAATGCGTGAAAATTGCACAGATAATAATTGTGATGCAGCATGGAGAAACCAGGCACTTGACAAAATAATGAAAGTCAAGATACTAGCATTTTTCTGTCAGTTTGGCAATTTATACATCTAATTTTTGTTTTTTGACTTAACACTATTGTTGTCCAATTAAGAACACATTTCTGGGTGGATTTTTACAGAAAAACTTTGATTAAAGGCACAAAATATGTAAGTTTTAAGTTTCCACTGACTATCAAGCTATGGAAATAACCAATCTGTGGCGGCCATTTTCTCCCTGATCATACTTTTGAAACTAGGCGACCACCTTCTTCAATCTCAATTACTTTGATTTTTATTCTAGAGAGAGGGGCATTTTCTTCACCGATAGCAAGACAACTGAACAAGAAGCTTTAAGATGATACCAATAACTCGACAAGCCCAAAAATTGACGAGAGCCTGTTTCCACCGTGTCGTGACACAATCGTTTTGGTAGATATCTCAACATAAAAAAGAGGCTTTAACAATTTAGCGAAGACAAATTTTATCCTACAACATGCTCAGGCTTGAATTGATACCACAAAAGTAATGAGAACTTGAATAAAATATCTCTATTCTTCAAAATTAGAAATTCAAACAAACATACAGTGAATGTAACAGGTATATTAAAATATTATACACAATCTTGAGCCACTAAAAATGCAGTGAGACAGTACTCAAGCAAAATTTTAAATTTTTCCTCAAACTTAATATATTCCTAAAAGGCAGGTAACTTTGATATAAACATGCAAAACATAAAGAAGGTTTTGGAGTCAATAGCACTAATAGTAGTAATAGTAGAGTATAAATAAAAATCAATTTCAGAGACTGCATCATGAAGACATACCTGAACTTCTACCAACCACAAATGTGTCCTTAACAACGGGGATCGGTGAGGAGTCAATGTCCGTGGTTGACACCAACTGGGCCCACGCCTCAGTTTCATCACAGACGCTCATTGTGATGGCAACTGAGGTAGACCTGTAATAGATCAAAGGTTGAAAATTCTAAAATAAATAAGTCAGCTCTTCAAACACTATTCCATGAACATCTGTCTTCCAGATGTCAAGATCGACAGCCAAATCATGAATTTTCAGGAAGCTGCCTGTCCTCACTTGTAAATCAAAGCATCAGCACCTGCAATGCTTTTATTGATTCCAGCCATTCCGTCACACAGTCATATCATCACATCGGTGTAGTCAAGATTATATCACAGTCATCTCGTATTACCACAAATCCACAAGGTTAAATGGAGATGGTAATTTCGTCACACATTTGCAAACATCAAACACTCATTGTCATGGCAATCGCAAATCATGACTTTTGGGGGAGGGTTGGGTGGTGTGTGAAAGGACAGAAGGGGGGAGGGAGTAAGTCGTCGTGCCTATCAGCTACACTGTTCATAACTGGGTGAGTTTTGTTGAGTTGTGTCATTGGTGGGAGGGGTGGAGGGTGGGCTATTTTCTACTAGCATTTAACAATTTTGGAGAGATAAGTGAAGTCATTTCGTCACACATATAAGAAATGACCGGTTTCTGATTTTATTGCCTGTCACAGAAGACTACGGCACCCACAGCCATGGTCATCTTTAAGATTTGAATGCCCTGCCTTGAATGTACTTTTTCATCACTGATAGACCTGTTTCTCATTCATATATGATAAATTCCATCTTACCTTGTACAGAAACAAGTTCAATATGAATTTAAGCTTGATTATAAATCGCTTTTGGGTAAATTTTTACTTTCACTCCCGCACACAGATGCACTGCTTCGGGGGTCAAACTGCAGTACTGTTTGCTGCAGATCATACATAAAGCCACTAAAACTGCAGCAAATCAATTTTATTCTTAGGAAAATTTCAAATCTAACTGTAAAATATCAAATTATGGTTTAAAACAGGGGGGCATGCCCTCCTATAACCCCCCAGATTTACTTTTACCTCAGGGTGGGCAGGCCCCCCTGGAACCCCCTGATTGGTCCAAAGCACGTCTATATCTCGATTTAAAAAGAACAATCGGATATTTTAAAAATTATTAATTTGTGACGGACATGAAGTTGATATTCGTGTTCAGCATATTAATATTTAGTAGAAAATGGACAACTGGCAGCTAAGTGAGAGACGGGAGGGAGGGCAAAAAAATACCCGCTTTTGTATGCAAAAATCTTACATAACACTCTGTAACCTCTAACTTTGACTTGACTTTTTCAATGATGGTAGCCATCCTTCTTTAGCACTATACATTTTAAGAATACAATCCATCTCTGAAGACCATATAGTTCTGGAATAAAGTAGCCTGATCCGAGTGAACATGAAAAAAAAAGTGTTCAAGTTCAAGGATGGACTGATGTTGGCAACCTCCGGTTTTGGCCTCAAGAGTCGTCAAGAGCACTGGAATATTGATGTTAACATAACATTGTGGTGTTCGGGTCAGATTAGTTAGAGGTAGAGGTAGGGTAGGGTAGAGGAGAGGTATGGGCAAGGGCATGGGCAAGGGCAGGGACAGGGGTGTGAGTAGGCTTAGGCTTAGGTAGGGACTAGGTAGGGACTAGGTAGGTCACCAGGGGTTGGTTCGATTGATAGGTGTGGTTGTGGTGTAGTCACTAGAGACAGAGAGATCTAGTCACTAGTCACTAGTGTAGTAGTGTAGTGTAGGCTTGTAGGGTAAGGGGCTGTACTAGTCTTCATTAGAATCAGGTAGATAAAAATTAGGCCTACCTTTACTTTCACACAAGGACTGGACTTTGTGACAATCACACAGACCAAGAGTAGGCCTACGCGTAATCTTCAGAGAGTGTATGTGAATGGACTTGCGAAATCATAATTTAGCCAACTTGTTTACAATAAAATGATCCTTGTTTTGTACTAATCGTCTAAGAATTTAAACTCCAAATGAAAATGATCTAATCCGCGAAGCAAAGTGAATGTATAAGCTTGTACTGCCAAATAATGAGTTTTCTTTTTAATATAATTGTACCAAAAGAGACAAAACAATTGGTTAATTGTAGATCTTGAATAAATCATACAGAAACAATTGTCATGTAATAATGAATACAAAATAAATTCATAAAAGTATGTTTCGTTTCTTTTTTTACGTGCGGGACCGTAACAGTTCTTGTTTTTTGAAAATTGACCCTGACAGGGAAGACAAAATGGCGACCAGGATGGCTACTCTGAATCGTCTGAATGTTGCTCTTCGCACTTGCCGAAGATTTTATTCAGCTCAAGCTGGGGAGCATGGCCATGGTAAGACTTAGATTCTAGATCCATATGTTCATCAGCTAAAGGTATATTTTAAATTATCCCCTGATTGTTCTGCTGTTTTTACCCCTATCCTCTGGACATGCAGTCGCAATCAGCAAGGACAAGAGTGCAGGTCCAAGAGCAAGAGGGGCAGGGACGACAGGCTCACAGTAGTGTGCAGTCTCAACGCCCCAGACCGACCTCCATCAGACTCAGACCTAGAGTAGATTAGATGATCTTGTCAGTGACCTGACAATTTCTGCTCACCAGAGAAATCTGCTTGAAATTCAAAGCCAATAGATTGGTTGGAAAGACTTCCATGCCATAAAACAGCCATAACGAGCGACCACCCCATCAAACTCAAACACAATAAAGAAGGGAAGTGGCTATTCTCACCCGGGGTGAGAATAGAAATACGATCTACCTCTCACCCCGGGTGAGACTTGCCAGCGTAGGCTATTCTCACCCAGTGTGAAACAAGACCTGTTATTCCTCATTTCGGTGTGGATGATCAAATTGATAAACTGAAACAAAGTGTATACAGTAATACAGACCCGGTAACCGGGAACAAAGTCACGAAGTATACAGACCCGGTAGGGGAACTCTTTTGTGATTTCGGGAAGTTTCAGCGCCCAGACCCGGTAGAAAAATCTAGAGAGTGAGTGTGTGAGAGAGAGAGAGAGGTGCTAGCAAAATGTGACATGCCCCAGTTGGCAGGAGGGAACGAGAGAAAGATAGAGTGGGAAATAGGTGGGGACAAAGAAAGACGGAGACAAACAAAGAAAAAGAGAAGGCGAGCGATACACACACCCAGTAGGGGGGGGGGGGGGGAGAGAGGCAGAGAAATAGAGAGGGTGACTGCTTCTTGATTGAAATTATGACATTGTTCTTTACTTCAAATCGTGATTCCTCCTGCTCCAAAACGGAGGAAAAACGATCGTTCATCGAAAAGACATCCGCAATCTTCATTTAGATCTAGATCTAGGCTAGCCGCGAAACTAGATCAAAGATTTATGTCTGTCTAGATCTAGACCATAGATCTAGAAGAACCTAGGTCTACCCTGAGCCAAGAGGGCGCTGAAACTCTCCGAAATCACAACAGAGTTCCCCTACCGGGTCTGTATACTTTGTGACTTTGTTCCCGGTAACCGGGAGTGTATACACTCCCATTGATAAAAGCCAAGAAAAAATTACGTTATAGCACAAAAGTAAGCTAATTTGATCGTCTTCAAAGATGCTATGGCTATTTCACTTTTCGAATCGAGCCGAACTACGCGGGTCGCCATTTTGTTTTGCCCAGAAGTTCTCGCAAGATCTACTCCTCCCCTCTCTCTCTCTCTCTCTCTCTCTGTCTCTTTCTGAATACTGTCTATCGGTGCGGACGATCAACTTGACCAAAACAAAGTTTAAAAATGATGTTAAAACACAAAAGTAAATTAATTTGGTCGTGTACAAAGATGCTACGGCTGTTTAACTTTCCGAATCGAGCATAGCTATGCGGGTCGCATTTTGTTTTGCCCGGAAGTTCTTGCGCTACTCCTCTCTCTCTCTCTCTTTCTCTCTCTCCACTGCCCACAGACAAAATTGCATGCTTTTAGGCTAACACTAACAGTAGTAATTAGAACGTTTTATAAGATAGAGATAGCTAAAGAGAGAGAGTGTAGAATTCTGTGGCTCAGGGTGAACGCTTAACTGGTTGGCCTAGGCTATACTATAACGGTGAACGCCCACCGCGTGAGAATAGCCAAAAGACTCGCCTGCGCTAGGGTGAGAATAGAGGTGGCCATAAAGAAGAGGCCTAACCCAAACCCTAAACCTACCTCTACCTCTACCCCTAGATCTACCCCTACCCCTAGCCCTCAATTCTGCTCTGTCTCATAGTGGTCGCTCGTTACGGAAGTTCTCTCGATAGTTTAGATCTCTAGATCTATCTAGATTCTAGTTGGAGAACATAATCAGGAGTACGCCACTGTCCGATATTTTTAGTAACAGCCATTTTGTTTGACCTATTCTTTAACCCTCATCCTGCAGGGGCCGGGTTTATGTCGCCCGATAAGCCTATTTCGGCACCTCGCCTACATTCTGGTCCCGAGTCAGTGTAGCCCCTGGCTCAGGGCACGCGCACCGCGCTTCATCTTACGTGAAATTCGGGTCCCGAGTCGGATCCCCATTCATGCAGGTCAAGTGTGTGTGCGTCAGTCTGCTTGAGGGTTGTGTGCATTTGTGGCCTTCTTCTAGAACTGCCTGCATTGGTTCGTAATCGAGGCATACGTCTCATTCAAAACACACCAAGTTGGTAGCTCTAAATCTAAATTTAGATGTTTGTCCAATGAAATTATAGAAGAAATTTACCGACTTAGACATGAGGAGCTCAAAAGGATAGTCAGGAAACAAGACTTCCATTTTTCTCTATACAAAGCCTTTCAATTGAGCTTGATTTTGCATGAAATGATACTACCTGATAAAAAATAAGCTTTTTTGATAGTTTTGAATACCATTGTGCAGGTACAAAGAACAATTTGAGTGCAAAACATTCGGAAATTGACCTATATTATCCCCTTTCAAACCTCAGGTCATTAATAACAACAAGAGCGTCTAGAAAGGTAAATTCGAAAGGGCGTAACTACTTGTAATGTCTTATCAGCTTGTGAGAGGGGGTTATTCATGTGTTTGTAACACTTTATAAATAGAAAGCTATGAAAGATAGAGCGTTATTTTCATCATCGATTAACACACTCCCACTGTATTCATGGTGAAAACACACGTTTCCCGGCGGGCACGCTGTACACCAACAGTACACACTGAGTGACCCCGGCGACCTGCCTGGAACGTCCGATGTAATCAGTTGCTGATAAAATTCGCATCTCAGCACAGGCGCAGGACAAGAGTTAACATACATAATATAATGAGCATTATCATAACACTTTGCTAAAATGAAAAAAGAGCTTTTTTTACTCAACATTTTTTTCCTAGATCTGACAGTGAGACAGTAGATCTAGCCTAGGTCTGGAACTTCTTTTTTTGTGTGTGTGTGTGAATGAAGTACACTATTTTATGACTCAAACAAGATGGCTGTTACTTAAAATATTGGGCAATGGCGTACTCCAAATGTTCTCCAACTATCGGCTCGTGAAATTCAACATGACTCTCTCTTCTACTTCTATCACTATCAGATTGCCAGGTAACACATTGATCATATAAAGAACTATGGATCATTTTGAATTACTTTGAAGTTAGACGTACTGTGGTTAAAGCAGCTTTTTTTCGATGAGTAGAATGTCTCCTTCACTGACCAAACCATCTGATGTTATCAAATGTAAGATCTGGTAGTTGAGGGGCTGGGGCATTGAGTGAGACATGGTGAAATCTTCCAGTTTGCCTGAGTTTGAAATGTGTTTTATTCATTTGTTGAAGGTGAATCCTGTCTGGTAATAATTGGGGAGAAGTTCCGCAGAGGGCCGGCATTTACTGTGACACGGTCCACTGAGCAAACTATACAAGAGTTGGGGTTACTTTTTGTTCACCTTGTCACAGGAAGAATAAAGAATGGAAAGCACTATTCCCACTGACACTGAGAACAGACCGGCCCATTATATCTATTGTTCCCACGCTGATCTACATGGGCATGATGGTGATGGGTTACAAATACTAGACTTTATCTAATGTTGTTCTAGATCTAGATTCTAGATCTAATTAAACTAAATTTAAGTAGATTCTGATGTGAGTGAAAGAATTTTTTTTAAGAAAAAGGAATGATCATTCTATGCTTGCTTGTTATGCAGTCGTAATTTAAATGTACATCTAGATCTACATAGATCTACAAATTTTGGAAACCATGTTACAGGACAGGTAGAAATTCTTCTCGATTCTTCTTTGTTCTAGATCTAGTTCTGATTTTTTTATGCAAAAGAGTTCCGTTGTCACTGGGAATAGTTTCTGTACCTATCCCCAGTGTCACTGGGAATAGTCACTTCGATAAAGAATGGTGGCCATGAGGCATGGCAAGTGTTGTGGGAAGTTTTGAAGGCTTAGCCTTGAGATACATGGCTGTTTATTGCCCTAGTTTTGATGAGCTTTTGTATGTTATATTTTAAAGTCACCCCTCAAAAATATTCTCCCAATGTCCTCACTAGTATTAGTACAGTCTGTATATTATCATATACTTCAATATGGTTTTTGTTACAAAACCTCTAATACGGTGTAGATTATGATAAAAATTCTCACTCCTATCCAAGCCAGCCCACTTGGAGCTGAGAGCCCCTTGATCAGGGCGATTTTTGCGGACTTTCACTCTCAGCAAATTTCTCCCCCACTTTAACTACTGCTACTTTTATTCAAGCTATCAAACCTGTTTTTTGTGTATCCTGAAGGTGCCATTGCTGCTTGAAATAGAATTGAACTCATGATCAGTATTTTCCCTTGGAGAAGTGTAACCAGTTTTTGACATTGCTCACCTTGGAATAGTGAGGCTATATGATCTTTTGTCCAGGAAGCTTCCATGTCAAATTATCATAGTCATTGTTTTTTTCATTATGCTGGGCATCTGATAATTATTTTTTTTTTCCCCAGAGAGTGCCAAAAGGTGGAAGAGCGCCTTCTTCTTCCTTGGGGCCCCTGCCGTTGCTCTAGTGTACTACAATTCATACTACATTATGCCCCAGCACCCAGAGAGAGACGAGTTTGTAGCCTATCCTCATCTTAGGATTAGAGCAAAAGTAAGTTTGATAGTTGATTTATGTTGCAAAGTTTTCCAGTTATAGTTGTAGCTACTGGCTTGTTGATTAAGAGAGCACTGATGTTGGATTTTTTTATGTAGGTATCGTAAAAACTGTGCAGCGTTCTGAGCATGTGGTTTCGGTAAAATTGTAGTAAGTCTGATTGCTTAATGTGGGGGGTTTGCTTTTTTGCTATAAAACACAGTATTGTATATTAAAAGGTTCAGCTTTTCCTCAATATGATGGTGTAGGTTATTTGTGTTGTTCTTGTATTTGGAGCTGGAAAATCGCCATGGAAAGAGAAGCCCCTCAAAGTCGGAATGGAAGGTCAGCTGGTTCAAAATTGACACCAGTGCATTTGAATGGTTTGCAGAAAGATAGATGATCAAATACCGTCTTTTCATTGGAAGAGAACAATAGAGCTTTGAACAGTGTTTCCAGTGGTATACTTTTTACGGGAAATACAGTCAAACCTCATCGTACCGCCAACCCCACTTACCGCCAGGTTTGGCCAATGTAATATAAACATAGTATTTGAGCCTTTACGCCGCCAACTCTCTCACTTGTATGGTCCTTATTAAACTGCTCTAAATTTACTCTGCTGTACTGCCATGAACTGGCCGCTGGAAGTACACAGTACACGTTAGGCTACACAAGGCGCATGGCACATCCAATGGGTGGTTGCTTGACAATCTCTCACAGATGTCTCTGTGGTCTAGGTCTAGATCAAAATACTTTTCACCGATTTGCTCCCTCCCAACTCATCTCTCCTCCCCAGCCTTGTCTTGTAGATTTCAAACAATAGGCCTATAGATAGAGCTACAGTGATGTAATGTACCACAAGTGAATGCAATACAATGTGTTACATAGAAGAGTACAATTGAAATAAAATATTACTTAATTAAGCATTAAATTTTGCTCCCCACGTGAATTCGAATAAATTTGACAAGCTGGTTATGAAAATGCTTTTATTTTTATTGGTCAATACAGTTGAACCTGCCCTGACGGCCACCTGTACAAACAGCCACTTTCCATTTCCCCCCTTTCCTTTTTTTTCTATATAATTTAATTGTGTAAAACGGGCACCTGTCCAAGGCGGCCGCGGCCACCATACTTTAACACACAACCCCTATCACACCAAACAATAACACCTGTCTTAGACGGCCTCCTTAGTGACGCCATTACGTTTTGTCATAAATATATGCATTGGCCCCTGGCGTTGTTAGGTAGTCCATCCAACCGATTCATGTTGCGTAGGCCCCTCCCACAGTTGAACTATAGGTAACAAATTTTCAGCTGCTGGTGAGGTAAGCATGCGATCCCTCAAAACCCATAAGCCCCGCCCAGAACTCATACACAAATCGTAAGTGAGATGAGTGGTCACTGTTTACCCAGTCTGTAACAAAGGTAACAATGGACGTAAACATGAACTTGTGACGGAAGCGTCGTTCATTCTCCGAGTGGTGGCTACCCGTGTGTTTGTTTTACCATAGCACGAGATCAGTCCATTTCGTTTTATTGTCACCCTTGCACAAAAGCAGCAACAAAAGACCCCCCCCCCCCAGCGAAAACAAAAACAATATCAACAACAACAATGCGGCTACTTTTGGTTGGGACCTCAGAAAGTAATGGTTTGTTTTCTTCATCTTGATCAGTCCTGCCTTAAACGGCCTCTTTTCTCCTTGACAATGGGTGGCCGTCTTACTCAGGTTCGACTGTATTTTTAAAAAGTGGAATTAAATTTTAAGTTGTCTGAAGAAACTTTAAAGGGCGACCTATATATCAACTCAATAGCTTACAAACAGGGGAATGCCCGTGGGGCTTTTATGTTTTATTTAGTAAGGACTCACTCTCAAGTGACAGTCCAAAGGGATTTTTATAGCTCATTATTAATTCATGTAGTGATTGGTTAACAAGTCACCTTGACTTTGGTCAAGCGGTGGTCCATGTATTTAAAAGGGGACATGAAAACCTGGTTGTACCGCCAGCTAAATGCTGGTCCCGGTGTAGGCGGTATAACAGGGTTTCACTCTTTGTAAAATACTTTTTTTTTAAAGGCACCAATAGAAAGATGGGATAATGTCATCAGCTTTGGAAAATTTTGCCTCCTCCCTTCTTTAGAACTCCAAAAATGTTAAGACCTCGCAACATGGAGCAGTTTGTACACAGTATAATATAGGACCGTACCGCTCGCTACAGATGGCGGTGTGCCTCTGGTTGGGATAGGACTCAGTGTTTTTGCCTAAAATACAAAGGAACATGTTTGGGGCAATAAAACACTCATTTGCAATGGTCTCAAAGGCTTGGAGAAAAATTAGGCTCCAAATCTGCATTACTGTGATTGTACTATGTTCATTTGTATGTGGATGTTTGGTACTGCGGGTAAGCTACTGCTTTATTGTCTGTCCAACATGGGGTTGCAGCCAATTTGCGAGCGTTTCACACATTTCATGGCTGCCACTTTTTATTTAAAAAACTGACTAAGAGGTAAAAGATTGACGCCAAAATTCTCAAGAGATTGATGTGCCTTTCATATGGAACAGAAATTTGTCATATTTATTTTGAACATTTATTAGTTTCTGGAGCTAGATTATGACAGCTGTTCAGGAAAGACTGGGTGCCGCCATGCAGAATATTTGACACTCGTTTTTGTGTAGTTTAGTGTAATGATTATTTCAACTATATGGGAAAGGAGGTCATTTTCTTAGATGGGTCCCTTACAAGTGATTGCTGGATGGATTTTGTTTTCTTGCTATATTGTGCATTTTATTAGTTCCGTTGTATACGAGTAGCCTACATGTGACGTGATGAACAATCAGAAAATTTAGTACGCTGTTTGCATGACTATAGCAGGTCTGCAACACTGCTGATTTTCCACTGCCAGAATGAGCAGAAAGTTCGGATTTATTTACTGAAACCAGTAGGCCTACGACAAGTTGATTGTTTTATTGCTTCTTTTGTCCGACATTACTGAAAACAAGTTCTAGGCTACTGCTGCTGAAGAGCATTGTACAAAACCCTGCGCTTTTGTCTAGCTAGGTCTTGTCAGATTTTCCCACCCTCCGTCCTCAGTCGAAGGTGGTGGGTTTTGCAGAATGAAACTTTTTAAAAATTGTCGTGTAAGAACTTACAGTGGGCGATTGGCAGGTGCTCTGGTGTGGTTTGCTTCTTCTCTCCAATCAAATATCAATTGTCCTTTTCTCCCCTCGTTCTTTTTTATGTTTGTTACTCCCTTGTAACACCTCTAATCTTCTGGCGCTCATATGACCTTATGCAGTTGCGAGTGCAGTAAAACCTCTACTAAAACTTTAAAAAAGAACTTACATGCTCTCTATTATAGTCCCAATCTGAATGGTTTTGTTTTTTGTTCATAAAATAAAATTTGGTGACACTTTGTCTTTTTCAGCCCTTCCCATGGTCAGATGGCAACCACTCCCTGTTCCACAATGGCTATTACAACGCGTTGCCGGAGGGCTATGAAGAAGGCAGTGAAGCTCTGCATGGAGGCCACCACTGAGTGCCCGTAGCCTCCATCCCTGGTGATGAACTTAGCGAGAGTATGCCTGTGCTGTGAATGGACATGAAGAGACGTGATTGCCACAGGTCAATACAGAACAGGTCAAGAGTCCATGTTCACCCACAGTGGGCGTCCATTGCTATTGGATGAACGTTTCGAAGTTTTGGTTTTGGTCGTTACCACCAATGATAAAGAATATTGGCCTTGTATGTATGCTGTAGAACATTTGGTTTGTGTTTGATTTTAATGAGTACGGTACAATGAACCCAGTTATTGTGAAATAAACTTTGAATACAATTTTGTAGTTTTTGTTTGTTTATGAAATGTTACTAAATGTAATATAGGGGTGTGTTGTTTACCAAGTTCTCCACTAGAAAGTGGGACAGCAATAATGAAGAGACAGAAGGCAGCTTGATTCATCCCTGTGGGACAAAAGTGTTAATTTCATTCATCTGTTGGAATGGGAGATGGGCTGTACCCACCCAAGCAGGCCAGTACTCTTTGAGTTGGGGTTGACATTCGAGTTCCTTAACATGCCCAGATGTGTTGGAATGTGCATCCCTGTATTGTAAGCATTTTTGTCTGCTGTGTGCAGTCAAACCTCCTTATAGTCCCACCCTTGGGGCCAATGTGAAGTTAGTGGAAAAGCAGGGCTGGAAGTTAAAGTTAGTTTAACAGGGTTTCCACTCTTAAATAGCCCCGCCTGCCCAACGTCAAGTCAAGAGAAATGATTCTGCTGTGTGATATGTGTTTGAAAAGTGGGGGGTGATTTACATGTACATGAGAGTTTTGAGTCTCTTTCTCTGCGTGTGTGTGTGTACAAATGCAAACCCAGATGGTGGGTGCCCTGGTGTGGTTTGCTCCTTCTTTCCTATAAAACCCCTATGGTCCTGATCTCTCCTCGTTTTTTTGTTGTTGTTTTTTTTATTACTCTCTTGAAACGTGGGTGGTTGGCGGGTGCTCTGGTGTGGTTTGCTCCTTCTTTCCTCTTAAACATCTATCGTCCTTATCTCTCCTCCTTTTTTACGTTTGTTGTTACTCTCTTGTAACACCTCTAATCTTCGGCACTTATATGACCTTATTGTGTTGCAAGTGCCGTAAAACTCTTTACTGAACTAAACTCTCTTGAAACTCATCTAATCTTCGGCTCTTATATGACCTTATAGTTATAGTGTTGCAGGTGCCGTAAAAGTTTTACTAAAACTAAAACCCAGATTAACTTTACGTTACCGATAATTCAAATTGAAAATTTATACTAGTACTAGATCAGAAGCTAGGCTGTAAGTCTGTGTCAAGGTTCCTGTAGACCCGGAAAGGCCCGAACTCAGGTACAGCGGGAGAGATCGAGCGAGCTCTAGCTGGGGGGTAAGCAGTGGCGGTGGGTGGACCAAGATTTGGGTGGGGCTTAGGTTTCTTCCACTTCTTTACCACCAAAAAGCAAGCAATAAGAACAAAACAGTGATAGTTTTTCTATACTCACGGCGAGCCACGGCATTTTGAGAACCATTCAAACGAGAAGAGTTACCTTTGTCTTCCAACTCTTTGTCCTTAGTTAAATTTAAGCTCTTCAGGATGGTGGTGACGAAGACGTTTCACCTCCAAATTTCTCTAATTAGTTTTTATCTGAAGAAAAAGTTGCCTCAAAACTGCTTTGATGTAATTAATAGCTGTTAAATCTCAGCGGCACAAACACACAGCACTCCAAACACATACCGTCTATGAGGTAGATTGGGTTGTGTTGTTGCGGAAAATAGAACGCGCCTAACAAAGGCCCAATGAGCGTATAGGTATCTGTGTCACTGGGGGAAAGTGTGTCGTAAACTTTCACCCCATTGTCTGGGCTGGGAGAGCGTGAGCCCGCTGTGCAGTGTTATTTTTTTAAAGTCTTCTACCTTTTTACAAGAAGAGTTTAATTAAAGACGGGCGTGGGAACCGGCTTATTCTTTCTGAGCCCTAACGACATTTGATTGGCTGTTAGGTTACTATAGTTGTAAGCGGTGACAATAATGATTGGATAAACGGGCAAGCCGCAAGCTGATAACTGTGTGTTCACTGTGTGCGATCCTTGTGCGATCACAACGGTTTCAACTGTTGATTTTGTTATTTAAGAAACTTTCATGAACTAAGGGATAGAGTTGGGGTGGGGACGGGGTGAGGGGCTCAAGCCCGTAAGCCCTTCACTACCCACCGCCACTGAGGGTAAGGGGGTTGGGGGACTGTAGGCGGGCTCCAAACAGGCAGTCAGCTGTGCAGCGTTGTGATTGGCCAGTCCAGTGATGAGTGAGGTGGGGCAGGCGGCAGAGAGTTGAGAGAGAGCTGTTGCGGAGAGACGCGTTATGCTACCTGAGTCACTCCAAAAGTGATGTGCCATGGCCTAGGCCATAGCTTGTACTCTCAGTACAAGTATGGAGAGCGTATAGGCCATAGCCCATGGCCTAGGCAAGGCCAAAAAAAGTAAAGAAGAGGAGAGTGACGTGTGTGAACTGTGATTCCTGATTCATTGAATTGCTATCGTTGAATCTCATAGGCATACGCACGCATCCAGTTCATGAGTTCTACTGTAGTACCGGTACGATAGACAGCACAGGCAACGAGACTGAGGAATAGATGGCTTCCAGTCAACAAAGACGAAATGAAAGGCTTCTCACTCGGGTTAAAGGCCTAGATAAACAATGAAGTTTACAAGAAAAGGAAGACTAAAATACTAATCTAAAGCGCAAATTTTATTGATATATATGGAAGGGAGGTGATAATGTGGATTTTCAGAAATTTTCCAGTAATTCCCCCCTTTTGCATTCCTCTCCCTATAGCGGTAACTTGTCAACAGCGAGATTTTCCTTCTGGAGCCAAATGTCCTGCCATAGCCGTGTTCTACTATGTAGGTTTAATGCCGTTATTAATTATGAACACTTTTATTAGTGGTTAAGAGTAATAAGAGGCTGGACCTCCGAGTTTAAAGTCCATCTCCGAAGGGACTGACATCTTATATTTGTTAAATGTCAAACTGACAAAAAATACAGGTCAGATTGTGTTATACTTAGGTCTTAAGCCTTTGTAGTATAGTGAAACTTGGATTCAATGGAAGGAGAATTCCCTGGTGTTTTAAAAAAGAAATCAACAAAATCACATACAGTATAATCCACTTATATCGACATCCGATTTATCGACATTTTGACATAATACAGTGGAGTCCACTTATAACGAGTCCGGAAAAAACGAAAAGTCTGTTATAAAGACACTATTCTAAAAACCCGGTTTTTTTTCTCCTCTTTACCTTTGTAAATAAAATACTGCCATAGCGCTATCAGACAAACATGCGAGTCGGTTATAGCGGAATATTGCTGCTGCTGTGCACAGTGCATATGCCAGTTATACATCATGCAAACCCTCGCCACTAGAGAAACTTGTTGGTGATCTTGCGAAACAAAGAATAGGAGAGCCCATGTGTGTCAACAATGAAGGCCGGAGCAACTGAGTAGGGGGTGTGTGGCATGCGCAGACAAGCAGAACGCATCGCGTGATAGGCCAGCGTAAGCCTAGTTTAGATTATCAAGGCCTTCCATGCCTCTCACTTCTCCAATGCGTGGATGGAGAGGTCACATCAATGTGATGGGCGGAGCGAATGTGTGACGTGCGCAATCAGACAGAATGCACCACAGGGTGGGGTGGGGTGGGGGAAAACACAGCGGGGGGAGTTAGCCTAAGGCCCTTTCTTTCTGATCGCCAACGCCGAGCTGTCAGTCCACATCACGAGATCTAGCGCTAGAGAAAGAAACCTGATTCGATTTTTGATTGATTGATTGATTGGGTAGATGTTTTACGGCACTATCGACACAATTTTGGTCATTTAAGCGCCATCAGGTTTCACCGCTACAGAATCAGACGTGTTTTAATAAAGAGTCTTTCGGAGCTCGCAACCGCAAACGATCACACTATTTCTATTATGCTAAAAAGACGAACAAACATTTATAAAAAAAATTTGTAAATATGGAAAAGGCTTATTTACATTTGTATATACAATACAAATCTCAGTGTATGTATATATACACCGACAACGACAACTATATATTTTCACATTTTATTAAACAGTCCAATTTCTTTTATAAAACTTAAAATTCTTCTAGGTTCTATGATGTTAAAAAGGGTCTTAATATCTTTACATTTAAAATATTTATCACGGACATAATTAAAGTCAACACATTCCATTAGGATGTGCCGAACTGTGAAATTTGTGTTGCACGCCACGCAAAAAGGAGCTTCCTCTCCCTCGAGAAAATGTTTGTGCGTGACGTGCGTGTGTCCTATTTTTAGTCGGGTAAAAATTACTTTTTCTCTTCGTGGTAGAGAAAATGGTTTCCTGGGTGTAAGTTTCGGTTGAATGTAATGGAGTTTGTTGTGTATTTGTTGATTCCAACTTTGGGACCAGGAGGATGTGATGTGTTCTTTTACTTTCGGTTTCATGTCAGAGAAGGGGATTTTACTATTTTTGTTTTCATGTAGTTTTAGAGATTCTTTGGCAAATTGGTCAACGGCTTCGTTGCCATCAATGCCTACATGGCTTGGAAGCCAAGCTATTGTAATAGTTTTTCCAGACTGATGTAGAAAATGCAGTTTAATGATAAGTTTCAAAATTCTGTTGTCGGAGGTGTCAGAGCGCTCTAAGGATTTCAGACAAGAGAGAGAGTCTGAAAGGATTAGGAAGGTAGACTTGGTTGATTGATCTATAATATTTAGGGCCATTTCAAGAGCTGTAGCCTCAGCAGTGTAGACTGAAGCTTCTGGATGGAGTTTCCTTAAGCTTAAGCTGTGTGGCGATGCAAGGGCAGCAGCTCCTACTGAGGAGTCATTTATGGATCCGTCTGTAAAGAGTTTCTCTGCTTCAAGGTATCTATTTATCAGCTGTTTGTATGAGTTTAAGTATGTAGTTTTGTCTGTGGACTTTTTGTTGTGTTTTTCAAGACTAGTATCTATGTTTGGTTTGGTTAAATGCCATGGAGGTATGCTGGACATGGCAAAGGGCTCGATTATGTCTTCAGAAAAATCAATGTCTTTGAGATCGTTCTGGATTCTTATTCCGAAAGGGCTTACTCGCTTACTTTATTTCCTAAGGAGGATAGGGTTTTTAGATCTTCGGGAAGGCCAAAGACACATTTGTGGGCTGGGTTTTGGGGTACTGAGCTAAGTTTCAAAGCGTACTGCAAAGAGAGTTTTTTCCTTCTAAGTTCCAAAGATGGTTCATGCGCTTCTGCCTGTAAACTTTCTACAGGTGAAGTACGGAAAGCGCCTAGGGCAAGGCGAAGGCCTTGGTTCTGAACAGGGTCTAAAATTTTAAGGTAAGACTTTCTGGCTGATCTGTAAACAGGACTGGCATAGTCCAGCCTGGAGCGGACAAGGGAACGGTAAAGCTGAAGAAGTATTTCAGTATCTCCTCCCCATTCAGGATTAGATATTACTTTTAAGGCGTTGAGAGCACTCTGACACCTCGTCTTTAGGTCTTTCAAGTGTGGTAGGAAAGAAAGTTTATTGTCGAAGATTACGCCCAGGAAACGAGCTTGTTTTTTAACAGGAATTTTCTCTCCAAACAAATATAAATCTGGTTGTCGCACACACTTGTGCGACAGACAAAAATGCACACAGTTTGTTTTTAATGTGGAAAATTTGAACCCGTGCCCGTTTGCCCAAGTTTCCAGTTTATGGAGTTGAAGCTGAAGCTGACGTTCAATGTGATCCATTTTGGATTTGGATTTATAGCAAATCAGGAAGTCGTCAACATAAAGTGAGCAGTCAATATTGTTTTGAAGGGTTTTTGTGATGGAATTTATTTTGATTTCGAAAAGAATTTTTGATCAAGTAAGACCTAGAGGTCATGTTGAAACAAAATCATCATAAGGGGGGATAGCAAAAGGAAATAAACAGAACACCAAACTCATAGATAAGGCCTACTTTACAGTTTCCCTTGGATTTATTACAGGATCCCTTATAGCGAGAATCCTGCTATAACGGACATTTTGCTCCCTCTCGTTATAACATGATTCCACTGTATTGACAAATTTTCCAATTACGAAATTTTTCTTTCAATATATCGCCATTGAAAACAAATTCTCTTATTATATCGACTTTTTTCGGCCCCCTCTGCTTTATCGACATGCTTCCTGGGTACCTGGCAAGGCCCACGAACAGAAATGGGGGGAGAAGTCACGCTAACGGTCAACGCAATAGTTCATCATTAAGTCCGCATACCCGCCAAGTAACCAATTAAATGACACACCAGGCTTTAGTAGGTCATGTAGGGCCTACGCAGTGTAGTCTCCAACACAGTACAGTGCCTCACAGACGTGAGCGTCTCGAGCGCTGGGCATCACCTCCTTACCCCCACTCCCGATGGCTCACTCCCCTTCCCCTTCTCAGACTGTCGCCGGCAAGTGCCACGATCAGTGAGTCAGTGCCTCACATTTCAATTTTCCCTTGCAAGCGGCCATGAACAGGCCTTACAATAAGTCACAATAAGGATGCTACAACAAAGTTTGAACAGGTTTGTGAGTAGTGTGCACTTCCCGCTGCTCGGTCATTGGTACCCCCCCTCCCTCCCCTCTAACTCCAGTTAGTTTCAAGAACCAAGGGAAGCAACCAGCTTTAACAAGTCGTGTTGTCTTTTACCGCTGACCTCCCCATATTTTTCCTCTCTTTGGCTTTATATTTTCATTTATCGACTTTTTTATATATCGACATCAAATCTACAGCATGTTGATATAAGCGGATTATACTGTAATTCAAAAGAGATGATTCAACGAAGTCTCTTATGGGGCGATTAGCCTCCACTGATGAGGCTTCACACACTGTTCCTCTGTAACGAAACGGAGCTTCTCTCTTGCCCTGCTTCATAGATCATTACACTTACACTTACACACTTACTTAAGCGGACTACAATACAATGACATCATATGAGAATCAATCAGAGGCCACCTTCCATACCAACACAAGGGTTGTTGATGTGCGCAAGACGCGTCTTTCAGGCTTGGCATGTGTCAAGAGTCGAGAGAGGTTGAGGGAGCGGCCAGCACACCACAGGAATATGTAGTTGTGTGCCCATCTTCTGTCTGACAGGGAGTAGGGAGGGACCCTTCTCATTTCATTAAATCCAAGTTTATTTAACCCTGATCAAATGTACGTAGGTAACAGGGTTACTGAGGAATGACCATATATTGTATATTCAAATAAAATCACTATGACATCTCAACTGGTTTTGATTTTGACTATCATTTCATCCAAGTTTGAGTGGCTCCACTCACAGCAGAGATAAATCAGTTTTGAGTCAAAAGAAGCACATCAACAGAATAATGGTGATTCAGTGCATGCAGGGAAGAAGCAAGAAAGATCAACAAGATAGTAACAACAGGGGAAAAGAAATGAAGCAGGACCTACCAGTGGCACCCTCCACCAACCATGATCATCCGCACCCAGATCAAAGTGGCACATGTGAAGCCATTGTTTTTTAAAAATTACATGTATTACATAACATGTTGAGAACTTCAGGTATACTTCCCTATGAATAGTGTAAGAAAACTTCAGTTATTGCTCATCTGAGATTCTTGCTCCCTCCATGTTTGCATCGTTACACACAGCTCATCAATTCAAATGTAATGCACATTTCCATACTGTGTACGCATGCTTGGGTCAAGGGCAATGATGATTTCTTTTACTTTTAGTATGGTACCAAAAACCAACCAAGACTGGAGTCCAAAGCTTGAACTTGTGTCCAGATTTCCTAAATTCTTTCACTCCTGCATGTAACATACAGTGAAGTCCACTTAATCTTCAACTGAAATCTGCCAGACCACCTTAATTTTTCAGTTTGGAAATTTGACTACAAAGATATTATTTTTATAGAAGCATATTGACACAAAAATGGTCATTTAGAGCCGGGGAAAAGTAAGATAGTTTAGTTTTTGTAAGGTATTACAGCGCTCGCAACTGCGTAAGGTCATATGAGCGCCAAGGGGTGGATGTCAACAGAGAAGTCCAAACGGGAAATCAGGCTTACTCTGCTCACCTCTCTTGCTTCAGCAGCACAAAGTCTGCTTTGACAATCAAGGCACCCGGGAAATAGTTTTAGTTTTAGTAAGAGTTTTACGGAACACAATAAGGTCATACAAGTGCCGAAGGTGTTACAAGAGAGTAACAAACACAAAAAATGAGGAGAGATAAGGACGATAGCTGTTTGACAGGAAAGAAAGAGCAAACCATACCAGAGCACCCGCCAACCACCCAAGCCTGAAATAGCAATTCACACGAGCGTGAAAAACACAATAGAAATACAGGAAAAATGATGATAGTAAGGATGAGAAAAGAAAGGCAACAGTTCTCGAAATAACAGACCCAATGTTGTGAGTGATAATAACATAGGCAAAGAGTCAACAGTCAATGCCTTCTTCTAGCTATCTAGAGCGTGCATGACTTGATAATTTGCATCACTTGAGGGCTGTTACTGAAGATTTAGTCAACACAACACTTCAAATTCTTTCACTTTCAGTTTAGATTTATAGAAGCATTTTCGGTAACCTATAGTTTTCTCACAAAGACAAAATGAGGGATTTTATTTTATTTTGTATTACCGTTATTTTGGGACAAACTGTTCAGTTTCGGACTCTAAAGCACATAATAGAATGATGTAAAAAACATTAGTCTGATGTACGATATACTTTATTCTCAAAGGCAATAAAAGTACAAAACAACAGAAATTTGCCATAAACTTGGGGGGAATAAGATTCCCCATTTTTACAGAACATTACAGTAAGCCAGTAAATTGACAAACAGTATATGCAGAGCATTATTACACCCTAATCCATTTCCTCATACTCAACTTCCAACAAGTAAGTTTCTGCAATACCATATCATCACTTGCACATACAATTCATTCAAAATTCAAAGGATGGGCACCTCCTACTGTACATAATTATACGACACAAAAATACACTAATAAAATGCACATAATTTCAAAAACTCGAACACCATATGCACACACTTTCACAGCAAAGTACTTTTTTAGCCTTTTGTACAATCTTCAGGCTACACCTCGAATACCATACCGGAAACATGTTTCGCTTGAGAAGGAATGACCAAGATTATTCTGTCCAATTTTCATCTGGATCATCTTGCAAAATGAGAAGTCCTGTTATGGCTATGAGGTTCATGACCTTTATCAGTATCGGTATGCTGGTGGAAATTTAAACAAATATTAGACTCTGAACACACTGGTTCAAAGCCAGCGCTCTTGATCCCTAGACAGAACACCCAGCTGAAGGAAAATACTTGAGGAATGATGAGAAATAAAAGTGTAACTCCTATCAGCCAGAACCAGAATGACGCAGAGCTTGTTTTTACATCCCCTTATTAGATACCCTTTTCCGTCCACTCCCCCAATCCATATTAATAATACTGGTCAAGACATAGTGATACTTCTTTTCTGAACAAAATTTGTCCCATGTAGGCTTATCGTTCGAGTGACAACACGTTGTGTCAATGGAAATATTAGATCTAGAATCTAAGTCACTCTCCACATCAAGAGTGTGCATCAAATTTCTCTACAACACAACTGCTTTTACTGCATTCAGTCTCAGTATCTGCTTCCCCAATATTGCGGATGGTTCAATTTTTGGCATGGTGAACGAGGCAAATCTAAATCCAAAAATGTTGGTGTTACAAAAACTTACACAAATGACAGCACTGATTTAATTCTGGCTGTTCAGGAAAATCAATGAAATTAATTCTGGCTGAAAGGAGTTAAAAAGGTGTATGCTTTCAAAGCAATCTGCAACTTTGAACTCATTAACCATTTTTTAAATTTGTTGTATCAACATCCCATACGCTTGTTCACAATAACCATAAGCTTCATTGTTTTCAATTTTGATTAAATCTGTTATGTATTACCAGGCACATCACAAGCTAGTTATACAGGCAAAAACTTCAGGACCTTACTAAACAGTTAACAAAAAGAAATAGTTACATTAAGTCCATAAAAATATAAAGTGAATAAGATTTTTATTAAAAAGTTAGACAAAAGAGATCCAGCATTTTCTCACGTCTAGAAATTGCTGAAGATGATGCTCCTTCATCTATCAAGCCAATTCAATACAAGCCCCAACCAACTATCCCCGATTTCTAAGCCTACAATTAAGTCTACATCGCGACAAGACAAGAGAGAAATTTACATAATAAAAAAAATAAAATTCAAATGGTCATCTACCCCGGAAATAACTACTACAGCTCAATGTTTTGTATTGCGAGTTCTCATGGCATACGGTGAGGCTTTCTGTCCAGCGCCAGCCTGTGAGGAGTCCGGTTGGCTGGTCTGGGTGACAACAGTGGCCATGGCAGCCGGGGCCGGCACATTCTGCGCTATCACCTGTGCTGTGGTGGCCACAACTTCACTTGTTGCAGCTGGAGCCGGCTGAACCTGCAGAACATGGAAAGGAATCCATCACACTGAGCAAAGGGGGAAAGGACGCAGTAATCTCAATTCCTTAATATTCTAGTGGCCTCCCTTGGAGAAAGACTCAATGTAATGATATGCACCATAAAATGTTGGGAACAGATAGCCTAAGAGGAAACTGTTGGTGATAGTCATAGAGATGACAGCCAGCAACATGGCTTTCCAAGCGACCATCCCCGACCATAAATTCAAGGACAACATCGGAATCATAAGTTTCTACATTCAAAAGAAACATTTCTCTTGTGATTCGTTGAACAGGGACGTTATAAGTTCTTCGAGTGCAGCTGATTAGGCATACTTGACTAATCTTTAATCCTATAGAGGTCTGTCTTATGTTTTACAGCATTCACACGTGTTGTGCATCATAAACCAAGGTCTAACTAAACATTACATGCAGTCACCCAAACACCAGTCAGAAACCCTTCACTCAAAGATGCATTTCCAGTGACCAATCAAAAAACATTTCAGTCCCCCAACCCCTCAACATTTCACAGACCAGTCCTAGACCTATGTACTGTCTGTGGAAAGTTGGGTGTGAAAACGCTGTCCATCACTCTCTTTGTTCGGTGTGAGGGGCAGTCTCACCAAATATCTGGTTTTCTAGGCTTGTCTTAAGCAGGTTGTGCAGGTTGTAGTGAAAATTTCCCTTTGTCAAGCTTTACCTGTCGGTGTTTCGTGGATCGGAGCGTGCATTTAGAGGGAGTGAGTTTCAGGTCCAAATTTAAGTCCTTCTCCCAAGTTCTTTAAATCTTCCCCTCTCAACCTTGTGGGGGATTTCATCTTAATGCTTGGTTGGTAAGATATATATATGCCTTACCGACAATCTAAATAATTTTTCAGATGGCCTACTTCTAAACTACCTTTGAGGGTCATCCCATTTTAAGCAAGAAAATTATCATCTCATTATCTTCTCCACCCAAGCTAGAGTCAACTTACATTTCTTGTTAGCATTGCAAAGAACCTAGTCATTTCACCATAGATAGAGGCCAGTGTTTCACTGCATGTCTTACATCAAAACACAGGAAAACAAAACAATTCCAACATACTCCTGGGGCTCCTCACCTGCACTGAAGCAATGCTGGCGGCAGGAACAGGCGCGGACACCAGGCTGATCTGTGTGGGCGTGACTGAGCGAGGGTTGGCCGTGGGTGGCGTTGGGGTGGCTCTCAGAGCTGAGGCGGCCACCAGCCCAGCGGGGACCGTCACCGTGGCTTGCTGGGGCTGTCCACTGCTCGACCCTTGACTCTGCACTGTAGCTGGGGTCACCTGTAAGAACTGCGTGGCTTGTGGCCCTGAGCCGCTAGATGCCTGCTGCACCTGGAGAAACAATAATAATTGTTTCATGGTTTTTTTCCTCAATCACAAAGACAAATTACAGGGGCATACTACAGTCGAACCTGTGTCGACAGTAATTGGGTAATTCAATAAGTGTCACCTTTTACATTACTTTTACACAAGTCCTTACTTTATATTTTTTCATTACGTCATTCCTTTTTAAAGATTTTTTTTGGGTACATGTTTAACGGCGCTCGCAACTGCATAAGGTCATATGATGGCCTTACTTTATTCTACTCACCTTACCTACATTCCACAACTTTCTTTGAGTAAAGCAGAAGTAATGGAGTAACAAAAATTCTAAAGTAACTTTCAACAATCAAAAAGCTCAGGAATTACAATAGTTTCTGCCATGCCAAAGCACGGTCTCCACAAATGAATGCTTTTGTCAATTGACGGGTTTTTTTCTGTATAATCTAGACATGCATGAGCACAGTCACTTTATTTTGATTGGTCACTCAACATGCCTGTTTGACAGGTTTCTCACTTGGATTTGGGTGACTGTATAGCTTATATAGGCCTATGATGTGCAACATGCATGACTGCAGAAAAACACTAGAAAGGCCTAAAGGATGAATGATTTAGTCAAGTCATCAGTTGCACCCAAAGAACTACAACGTAGTTGTTTAACCAATCACTACAGAAAACTCTCTCGGAATGTCTATCGTCATCCAAGCATTTACGGAGTTGCAACAGAAGACAGGTGGTCCGGAGTGGTTGCATGGCCGAGCACTCTTCCCTACCACCAACATTTTCTTCCTATCTGTTACTGACAGTGCACATTAGTACAGGAGTCAGTCTTTTTGGCGACCCCCCCCCCCCCCCCTTCATTTCAACACATTTGTAGGTGTAACCGTGATTGGGGAATTCTTTTATAAAACAATCATATTTCCTCACTTAATCAATGAAGTGACCCCCACCCCCCAGAGGTAACAGTAATCACTAAAATATCAAGGAAATGAAACGGTTGTGCCCTTTTCCTGTGTAAACTTTTTGCTGGCATGGCAGAGAACCTAGCCATTTCACCATAGCTACCAGTGTTTCAAACTTAGGAGCTCTCCCAAGTACTGTACATTTAGGCTGAGAACTCCAACACATACCTGAACAGTCTGTGCAGTGACCAGGCTCTGAGTAAGGCCCGGCACCGTCTTCTGCCCGGGCTGCACCGAGTGCACCTGGATGCCCGCCACGGCCCCGACCATACTGCCAGCGTCCAGGGAGGTGATGGTGGCTGTCTTCACCGCCCCTTGTGGCGTCAGACTCAGCCCGACCCCGCCCGCAGACGTCGTGCTCACGTGGGTCACCGTGATGGGGGTGCCCGGGGTTATGGTCTGGTTACCAGAGGTGAGGGAAACCTGGAACAGTGAGAGCAGGACGGGTAAACAAAATTATGTTCATTGAAGTATAGTGTAGATCTGTTCCTCCATTAAAAAAAGATGCTTGAGCTGGACATCATTGATGCAACACAAACAAAATCCATTCAATACAAAACATTTCAATATAATCACTCTTGAATGTCAGCCGTAAAAATTCTTTGAAATCCTGAAAACACAGCTCAAAACAATCCAACAATGCTAACCCCTGATAACTATAATATAATTTTTCATTTGACCAGAAATACAACCAAGTATTCTAAAACATTCACTGTAAAGCTCTTGAAAAAATATCCTCTACAAAGAGACCAACAAGTATTCAGTTAGCCAGTGTAATCTGCTGTTTTCTTAAGTTTTACGGCACTTACAACACAACAAAGTGCCGAAGATAAAAAGTGTTACAAGATAGAAACAAACACAAAAGAAGAAGGGAAGATAAAGACGATAGATGTTAGATAGGAAAGAAGGAGCAAGCCACCAGAGCACCCACCAACCACCCACGGGTAATCTCCTGCTCTCCTTCTTGTGACCTTGACGGAAAAGGGAGAGAGAGAGAGAGAGAGTACACAAGTAGGGAAGTAAGTAAGTGTAACTGTTCAACAGCGCTATCAACATTATTTGATCATCTAAAGGAGGCTGACAAAAAAATCGGACCTTTGCCACCATCTGCGTGATGGGCTGCCCCCCAGCCTGTGAGACCTGTGTGATGATGGTGGGCTGGGAGCTGTGGGTGATGATCTGCTGGATGGTGCCCGGGTTCTTGTTGAGGAACTGGTGCACAAACTGCTTGCTCACACTGTTCTGCTGGATCAGCAGCTGAGGGAACTGGTTGGCTTTGCCAGCACTCAGACCTGAAATAAATTTTTTTTTAAAAATATTTTTAAAACCCATCAAGATATAGTTGAGCACAGACAAGTCGAACACACAAAACTCAAAGGATAACCATATTTTTTACTACACGAAACTTTGGAAAATGAGAAATGAGGTTGCTCCAAAAAAAAAAATCATTTCTAGATTGGTTTAAAAAAAAAAAAAATGTTAGCTACTCAGCGCTCGCCTCCCCCCAATCAATGATCAATTTAACACTTTCAGAAACCATTAAAAAAATTGCCTAGTCAGAGTAACACTCTACAACATTGCCAAAGCCCCAGCACCAACCTGCCACTTTCTGCTGACCGACTCCTTTCCTCTGTTGGTGTAGGAGCTGCATGCGTTGCTGCTGTTGGATCTGGCTCACTGTGGTAGCCCGGGATGCTGAGGAGGACAGGACATTCACCTCAACTGCACATGTGGCTACAATATCACTGGCTGACCGGGAACAAGATTTCCAACCCTTTTTCTCCTTATTTTTTGTATATTTTTAAGTACAAGTTGTTAAACATCCATGCAATGTTCGTTTAAAGTTTAAAAAAACAAACCCCACTACAGTAACACACTTGCTTATTTTGACCTACTGAATGATGAAAGTGCTTTGACATTCAACAGGATTACATAAAAGGATTTTGCTACTATTACATAGTCAAATTAATACGGTTCTAGTTTTATTTCTGAAACCGATTTGGTCAAAACTATTTATGTATATAGTCAAAGACTGCCTTCAGTTACATGTTGGTTTGTTTGTTGGTAAAATCAGGCCTGAGGCAGTCTTGGGGGGGAAAAAGCAAAGGGGTTAAATTCTTATCCAAGTTCTGTTAGACAGTCATGTGCCCTTGACAAACCTGTCAGAGAAAGTAAAGAGATTGATATGTTGGTGCGCGCGTGTGTGTGTCCATATACATGTGCATATGGGTATTTGTTCTATTCATTCTTACGTGGCAATGCATTGTTTGGCCTTCCCTACAGTAAAAACCCTGGCCAATGTCGGAAGCCAGTAAAGACTCCATAAAAATCTTGCTAATCAGTTCGTGGCAAGCAGCCGACAAGTAAAGAGGTCTTGTTGTCAAAAGTCCCTGTAGAACTACTACATCACAGGGCCAACCAGGGCAAACCTACCTAGTACAGTCCTCTGCTGACCCACGCTGATGCTGGACACTGGGATATTGACCGGCACTGTCACCGCCGGGGAGGCCGACACAGACTTGACCAGGGCCACCGGGGACTGAGAGGTGGAGGCTGCAGACTGACCAACAGGAGTCACCTGGCCTTGGATGATCTGGGCTGTCTGAATCTGTGAAGACAACACATCAGCTTGACTAAACTTTCATTCGTAAGATGTGAAGCAATGTAAGGTGTGAGGCAATCTCACATTTCATGTAATTACTATTTCATTTTTGTTTATCCCGTTTTATTTATCTGTAAATATTTTGACTTCTTCACTAGTCTACTTCCTATGAAGATCGTAATTTTTGAAACTGTGTAAGTTTATGGTTTGTATGTGCTTGATTTACCAATTCTCAAGCATTTTCCACCAAAATATATTGACACCATAAAATTTCTCCTGACACCACAGGTTACTTGTTAGCAACGCTCGGAGGGTTTATGTCAAACATGTGAGAACATTTAATGGAAAAACTAATCTTGTCCAATTTCTACCTGAGTACGTATCCAATTAGACTTTAAATCAACCAAGATTTTAAACTAAAATTTTATAATATAAACAGGAGTGGAACAAGATTTGAAAATATGGTTTCTTATTCTTTAATCAGCAAATGTCAGTCATGAGAAACCATAGGTCACACACAACTTCAGATTTAAAAACAAAAAGAATAAGGGAGGAAATATATTGATCTTAATACTACGCCAAAAATCAGTTGCATAAAAAATTATAAATTCTTACTAAGATTTTAAAAGTGCATTAGTACAGGCATTAACCCCCCCTCACCCCTACCAACAACCACCACAAAAACCAAATAAGGTTCACATTACTTGACCATCAGTCCTTTGGTTGACCTTTTGTTCAAATTTGCTATTTCAGTCCCCCACAAAAACCCACTGAACATGAATACTCCATCGCAGCTAGCACACACAGCCACCACTGACAAAAGTGTGCATGGTCATGACACAGCATATGTCTCCCTAGCTCACCTGCTTTCCAGTCTGGGTCTGGATCTGGGTCCTCATTCTCAGAGCCTGAAGTTGCTCGTCCGTCATCTTGGGGATGGTTGTACGTATTAGACCTTGCTTAGCTCCTTGCAGGATGGACTGAGCAAATAAAACCCCAACAAATTCATGAACATCTCTGAACAGTTGAGCTTCACAATGTGATTCTACATTTTTTGTGATATATTAAATATAAAAGTTCAACAAAGTTTACACTCAAGTTTTGCTCTATTAAAAATTTGCTTGGGGCATTACATTTTCCTTCAACTACAAATCAAAAAAACAAATGTCAGGCTTAAAAATATTAAAAAGACAGGCCATAATGATCTTGTCGTAACAAAATATGCAAGAACCCAAATGGTGATTAGGGTCAATCTTGAACTTGGACCAGTTCGACTTGAAATCACTTTCCTGATTATTTTTCTCCAGAAAAATCATAAGTTCAACTAAACCCCATGAATTATTACATCAATTGTTTTCTTTTACCTTTGCTTTGAAAGATAATTGTGAGCAAAAAAGCTTTATCTTTTCATTTTAAGAGCCAAAGTGCACAAATTTTGTACCAACTATTAATTGGACTATGCAGTTAATTTTCTAAAAGAAAGAAAGAAAGAAAGAAAGCAAGTACACAATACAGACATGTTAGAAGTTCAGCCCCAAATATCTCATGTAAGCTTTAGCTAAATTCCTTCAATCTCATTGAAACTATTCAATTCCTCACCTGACCACCTCTGACAGGTACCAGCAGCTGCTGTGTGATCACTTTCTGCGTGGGATGCTTCAACGGCTGGGCTCGCAACTGTTCCTGACTGAGCAGCTTCTGTGTGCGGATCTGCTGTGTGCCAGCCGCTGCCGCCGCATGTGTGCGGATGATGGACTGGTTCTGGCGCAGAATGTTGATCTGGTGCGGGGTCAGGCTTCGGGTCGCGTGTACCAACTGAGGTTGGAGAGCTGGTGGTGACAAAATAGGAGAGGTGAACAGGGGCTGTCTTCAACAACATGACACGAGTGCTGTGAAGAGTTCTAGAGCACTGTAGACATCATGAACTATGACCAAAAAAAACTTGGGATTAAAATCATTTTCACAAAAAATGATTTTTAAAAACAGAAGGAAAAGAAGCAACTGATAGCTGACCAACTGAGCAGAAATAAAAAAATAAAAAACACCTATAGATTTAGCACAACTGACCATGTTTGAATGCAGCTGAAATTGAACCTCTTTAAAATTTAGAGCATGCTCTCAGAAGTTATGTATTTCCCTGACCGGAAATTTGTGGCAATGACTCTAACATTGGGCTTCACTCTTAAAACTGCATGTATAAAAGACAATACATGAGTTAATCAGTAACAAACTTCTTTTTACTCAAAAAAACATGTTTAAAAAATGAAATAGTTCTACATCACCAGCTCTTTCTTATCCCTCATTCTGATGTTTTTTGTCATTTAAAAGCACAGTATACTCATTGGTCACATTGGGAGGAGAGCCAACAGATAGACATGTAAATCATGCAGGACCATAACTATATTAGTAACAAACCTATGGAAGGTAGCAAAACAGAGTAACACACAATCCTTTGAAATGAACAACAAATAAAAAACCAACACATATATCTACATCAAAAGCTGAACAAAAAAGAAAAGTATTCATGCTAGATATTTATTTCAGTCAAGAGAGACGATACGGCAAAATGCCGCTTCATGTCTTATCCATCTACAACAGTGGTTCTCAACCTCGTTGGAGGAATTGAACCTCCCATGTACATTAACTGAACCCTTCGAGAGGAGTGGAAGGAATAGATACACACACACAAAACATGTCTGAACCTCCACTGAATTGCTGAGATTGACTCGTAGAACCCCTTGGGTTTGAGCGAACCCAGGTTAAAAGCAACTACTCTACACTCAGCAGCACATATCTATGATGTTAAGAGTATAATAGGTCTTCAAATTATTTCACTGAAGTAGAGGACTGAACATGCCTCTCTCAACTCCATAAATTGCAAACATTACACACATACACACTCAGCATGCTATAAGACTACATGTCGAAAACAGCAAAAAGAAGAACAAGTGTACACGTTAAGATAACCAATAGTGAATAAAGTCCTAGACAATCAAAATAAACATTAACTGATGTTCACACTGCATCTATTTCAACTTGCAAGTCTCTTTGATTCAAACTGACAAATTTTTAGCTATCAGCTTATTTTAAAGAAGAATTCAACTAAAGACGATTCCCAACAACAAATCTGCTCAGTATAGTAATGGGATTGGTAAATTCATGCTCTTTTTCTCCTTTTTTAAACTGCTCTCGTTTGAATTGTTTGGAGAAACCTGATTATCAATCTGATAAAAATAATATGTCGTTTAATCTTAAATTTAAGAGTAAATCTTGGGCAGTATTTCGTCTGTAACTTCTTAAGTCAAGAATCCAACTCCCATCAGCGCGCAACAGCAAAGAAAGCCTAGCTATTACACCACAGAAGCTTTGTGTGAGCCAAAGCACACAGCACGCACAGGAGTACAACACTCATGCAAGAAACATCAGATTGTGTGTGCGTGTGTTAGATAAGTCTACTCACTCCCAGGGCCAGCGATAGCTGCTAACTTTTGGGTGGTTAGCTGACCTGCTGCGAGACTGGAGGAGGCCACGGTGGTCTGGAGTGCTGACCGAGCAGCCGCGGCCGCAGCAGCCTGTGAGGCCACGGTGACCGCTGTGGTGGTGCCCGGGATAGCTGTCAGGTCCTGCATGGTGATGGTGGGAGTGACCGTCACCGCCGGACGCTGGCCACGGATGGCGGGGGTCAGGTTGGCAGACACGGCCTGTGATGCAAAAAGCAAAAAGTATGCATTACACCAGTGCTTGGTTTATTAGTTCTTAGTTCTTAAGTTTAGGGCTATCATATCAGGAACATCACAAACACATAGCAGAATGACAATTGTCAGGCAACATTGCAAAAAGGGGGGAATTTCTCGGACAAAGGCTGGGTTGTATAAGCTTAACTTTGAAAAGCAGTGAGGGATGCACGTACGCTGGAGCTATTTCTGTTAAAGTAATGCTACATCATGAGGTTCAAAATATGTACATCAAATAGGTCTTACACAAAGGTTAGCCTCATAGACGGAAATTCCCAATCTGGAGCCTCTTTGCATAAAAGGAACGCAGTATGAAACAAAATAACAAGTCACGAAGACCCACAATTTTCCCCTTTAAAAAAACACATGTCTCTTATGGATTATTTCAATCCACCAAGCTGTGTGGAAGATAGATAAGTCATTAGTCAGGATTCAGCGGCAAACTATTTGAATCAGCACATTCATAAAGACTGAAGTGTGAATATTTATCATCATGATCCTGCTGTTGAGTTCATTTGAGAATCCCCCCCCCACGTGCACGGTGTTGTCGAGTTGTACACTAACAGTCGTGGATATGGTTTGCTCAGGGGGAAGCACAAAAAAAAGCAAGAAAGACAGACAGAAACAAAACCTTAGATCTCTTATCACAAACAGGATTCAGTAACAAACGTACGAATCAGTAAGTTCATAAAGACTGAAGTGTGAATGTTTATCATCACAATCCTGCTGTTGAGTTCGTTTGAGAATCCACTTTTCCACCCCATTTTCCCCACATGTGCATGGTGTATGGTGTTGTTGAGTTGTACACTAACAGCCATGACTATAGTTTGCTTAGGAAGAAGCACAAAGACAATATCATTTAGCTCTAGGAAAAAGGAAGAATGACTGACAGAAATAAAAGTTGGTGAGTAAAGAAGTAGGGCCTACCAGAGGTGCCGTTTAACCACTCGCATTAAGACATTTTACAGGGAACAGATTACAAATACATGTTTAAAGAGTGAAAGTAAAAAGATACATACATACCACTCTACAACACCCACCAACAATCCTTCGATGTCTGACAGCTAAACATTATACTTCAATTCAAATCTGGATCGATAACAACTTCAATTCAAACAAAAATCAACCCAAGTTAGCAGAGACATAGACAATTTTGTTGCTGTTGCTAACATGCACATTACTGTGTCTATAGCGCTGTGTGGAAGACAGACAAGTCATTAGTCAGGATTCAGTGGCAAACTATTTGAATCAGCACATTCATAAAGACTGAAGTGTGAATATCTATCATCATGATCCTCAAAAAGATAGGTACATACCACACCACAACACCCACCAACCCATTTCTCACTTTTGCTACAAATGAAGAAAACTTATAAAACTCTCCAAGCTTTCAAGTTTTGTTTGGGTTTTTACATCATTCATGAACATGTGGCTACGCTTAAAGAAAGATAAACTAACAATCCTTCAATATCTGACAGCTAAACATTATATTTCAATTCAAACAAAAATCAACTCAAGTTAGCAGAGGCATAGACAATTTAGTTGCTGTTGCTTGCTTACATGTGCATTACCGTGTCAATAGAGCTGTAAAAACACCTACCCTATAACGCCATACCGGAGTTGAAAAAGCTTAGATCTAGAACTCTTTTCGCAAACAGGATTCAGTAACAAACGTACGAATCAGCAAGTTCATAAAGACTGAAGTGTGAATGTTTATCATCACAATCCTGTGGTTGAGAATGACTTATATATAAATTTTGGAAATAGTGTAATGTATCTTAGGATTTCTGTCTTACATCAATTAGTAAAAATACATGAGGCTCACATTACTGTCAAATCTAAAAGGAAGAATGGTTGCACTAAAGTAACCAAATTCAGTGTACAACAATTGGTTTACCAAAATTCAGTTCACAATGTTTCAATTCGCATCTTCGAACTGAAACAAATCAAGTGTCGATATTCATCTCAAAACAGTATAAAAAAATAAGATTAAAACTTGATGTTGATGACACTGAATCCTAACTTGATCCTTGTGTAATTTCAACTAAAATTGCACCCTACAAAAAATATGATTTTTCTCCTTGTCTTCTACACCTGCCTATGTAAACTCACAAGGCCACAAACATGTGAAGCAATTTTTTAAAAAATGTTTTAAGATTGAAAACGGAATTCACTATTTAGAATGCAAAAATGCAAAAATTGAAGGGGATTATTTACTTTGTTTAATAGAATTTCAGCACTTTAGTCTCAGATACTTACTTGAATTTTCACATGAGCAGAATTCAGAACAAATTATATTAATCATCAACTTCATCAAGACTGAAGTGTAGATTTTATCATCATTATCCTGCAAAGTGAACTACAGCAGCAAATAACACATTTCCTTTGAAAAACTCAATTAAAAGTATAACTGTAATGTGAGCACACTCTAGGTGGGGAGGTGGGGGGTGGTTGCACATTGTAAAAAGTCCCTCTTGGAAAATTTTTAAAATAAGTTTTAGTAACAGTTTTATGGCACTTGCAACATGGTCATAGAAGTGCCGAAGATTAGAGGTGTTGCAAGGGAGTAATAACGCACGACCAGATTTGGCCATGCGGCAGGCCTGCGCATGACACATTACGTGTGCGTGTTGCTAGGTTTCGGGCTAGATCGAGGTCTGCAGAACACTGCAGCCCTCTCTCGCTTCACACGCTGTGTGTGCTTGCAGTGGCACGGCTTGCGTGGGCTTGCTCCATCTCTCTTACTTTTTACACATTGTTAACTAGCCTTTGTCCCTGCTATAACCGATTGGGCTCCGATGAGGCCATGTTATTGTCGATAACTTTTAACAGAGACAAAGAGTAGGAAAAAAACGGGGATTTAAAAAATCCCTGTTATTACCGGATCCCTGTTATTACCAGGCCTGTTATAAATGGTTCCCACTGTAGTGGTACTTTTCATGCACTTAACTTGCTTTTACACACTATAGGAAAATAAAATAAGAGGACATTCATGCAGCTACAGAGGCATACTCACAATGGTGGAGGGCAAGGCAGCGGCCTGTGACATTCTCTTGTTGATGGCAGCAAACGGTCCAGACTGCAGACCCGTCGACGTGTTCACTATGATGTTCCCTGTTGCCGCTCCCAGCGTCCTCAGGCCCACCTTGGACATCTGACCTGGCTGTGAACAGTAAGCCACAGAAAAAAGTGTCACACACCACAGTTCACCATCACATACCCACTGGCATGCATATGTTTATTTATATACATGTGTGATACATGTTTAGGGCACACACCCACACACTTCTCTACAGCATTCACCAAAGATATACATTAGTTATTAAATAAAAAAGAAAGACAATTTAATCCAAAAAAAGCGAGCAAGTTTTCCAAACATCTCAAAAGTCAAAATTTTGCTTACAAAGAACTATCACTTTATCCAATTAAAAATCTGTTCTTCTGTGGCCATGTTTTTTTAAGTTAGATTAAAATGACTCAATGAAACAACGAGCTGAAGGCTAATGATGACAAGCTGACTTTGACAAAGAAAGATATCTATTGAAAGAGCATGGCACAAATACATTTTTTGAAACATAAATCAAGACACTTTTGAACTACTTTGTTCTTTAGAAAGTCCCTTAAAACAAATTTGCTTTGTTTCATGTACATTTTCAGACCATGAAACCTGGAACAAAGCAGTCAGTTGAGTAGAGAAGTGTGTGCGAGCGTGCCTTGGGGGAAATGTTCTTACAATGACAGTGGTGGGTGTGACGGAAACAATGGAGGAGAGTGGCTGGCCTTGGATGGTCGGAGTGACCCCAGGAGCAGCAGCCAGACCAGCCTGGCCAGTTCTCTGTGCCACAGCCGCAGCATCCTGGCTGGCATTCTGAGGGGTGGGTTGGAAGTTGTCTCATCAACACAGATGACTACTGCAGCTACAGCATACAACACACGCACAAGCACACACTGTGACACACATACTGAACCACCAAAATGAACACACACAAACACCCATGTGCACATCAACGTATACACTTCTACAAACTTATTTTAGACTCACTTTCACATTTAAATCTTTTGGACACAAAACAAACCACACAAGACCTTCACTCTATGTTAATGTCCTTATAAGAAAACTTTTCTTTTGCAGTACTCAAACCATCCTCCACATATTGTGAACTGATATTAGACCTCATTAAATACAGTTTTCCCCTGTCTTTACCAGTCTCTTGGGAACCCCCCCCCCCCCCCCCCCCCCCCATTATTTACAGACATCAGACCACTCACACAACAGTCTTTATATTATATTATATCATGCACATCGCCCTTCACCATAAAACAAATTCCACTTGCACAAAAAGACCTGAATTTCTTCTGAGTTAAAACCAGACATTTGATATACAGAAAAAGCAAGCTTCATCTCAGTTCCACAATAACAACGGCAACTGTAACAAGTTGTCAACTCTTTGAATAGATGCATTTTAAATATGACAATGACGATGATTCAAAGGGTCTTTTAAATCACTGTGCTATAGATCAACCATTTGCATAAACAAGATTTCTTAACACCTATTTCTTTGAAAGAAAAAGCTAAGCCAAGACAAAATCATGAGCTTAGGCAAACTGAGGTCTGACTATGTCATTTGACAAAATGTTCTCATGTCAAAAGCTTTTCCCAGTCTCCACACCTATATATATACACACGTCTTTTCAAATAAAATGAACCACTTGCACCACCTACCGCTGAGGCTGCCTGGGCCTGCTGCTGAGCTTGCTGCTGCTGCTGCTGCTGCTGCTTCTTCTTGTCGGCTGCAATCCTCTCGGCACGTTTGGTGGCCAGCTGGCTGGGGGTCATCGGGTTATCGTAGTTGATGCCGTGTTCGGCCAGGATAACGGCGTGCTTCGTCGGCTTGGCCGCAGGATTGACAATGGTCTGCCTCATTGCTGCGGGTCGCTTGGAGCCAATCTCCATCATGGATGTGAAGCGGTTGTCATACAGGTGAGAGTAGTTCTTCAGCCCTTCCTGCGAGTACAGCTGCTCCGTACGCAGTGGACGTACGTTCTTGGTCTGAACAGAATGAAAGAAGTACTCTAGGATACAAACAGTTCCTTTCATTTTTACACAATTCAAACAATAAAGGAACGCGTTCCCTATAGATGGACTCAATATACTCATTTTTAAATTATTTGCATACCAAGAAACCTTCAAGTAGCAAATAAATCATTTTACGTTTAAAACAATCTATAGGCAGAAGATACAATAAAGATAAACACACATACAAAATTCGCTTTCTTTTCTTGCAGACCAGCATTTCATACAACTTTTAATTTCCCAACGCAAACTTGTTTCATATTGCGTATCAAAAATGGTGTGGGAAACAAAACCAAAAAAAAGACATACCTTATAGATACTCTTAGGGGTCTTCTTCTGTTTAATGTTGTAGACAATTTTCCCATCTTCTCTGGGGAGCACAACACACTCGTACTGGTAACGACAGTGTTTGGCGGCTCGGAAGATGCGCCCCACAGTGCTGACAAAGTCTGAGACAAAGTCCCAGTTGACGATTTGAGCCGGGTTGTCCATGAGAAGGTCAGGGCTCAACTTCTGGATGTGCTGCACAGCCTGTGTACAAAAGGTGGTCATACGTACAGTCAGCGATTGTAAATTCTACACCTCCATCCCCACAATATAGATACCTGGGAAGCAGACCCGTTTGACCCACCAAACCTCAGCTGCAGTTTGATGGAGAATCTCAGTCAAAAAAAATGTCTCCATGAAGGAATAACTCACCTCTGCATGCAATGGCAAAGAACCTAATTAATACACAACAAATGTCCCTTATATATAGTTAGTGGAGCATCTTAGAGAAGAGAAGAACACAATATTTTCCATACAAAGCTCAGAGGCAGTACGACAATTAGGTCTTGTTAAAGAGAAGCATATCCATACTGCAGCAACTATTTAGTGCAAGGAAGACAACAGAGGAAAAGAAAGGAAGTAGGACCTACCAGTGGCGCCCTCCACCTACCCACAGCAGATAGACGGACAAGATAAAATAACAACAACTTGTTTGTTAATTGAAGAAACCTAAGAGCTTGTCGTAAGTGTCTTTTTACAATATTTTTTTATCTGGCAAAATTTTTTTTTAATTACTTATTTAACAACTTTAATTTCCCACTGAAAATACTTTCATGACTCTTCAACAACACTTTAGAGTTACAGTGGCTAAAAAACATGTGTGCTGTGTTACTCCACCAACACCACTTAACCCATATCTATGACATGGAAACTTCAGAAATAACAAAATAAAAATATTGACAAAGAGAATCAGAAATGCTCAACTGAGCTTGCTACTGCGAATGTGCGTGTAAGTTCACCTCAAGGAGAGCCCACTCCTCATGCACCAACCACTCGGGGTAGTTGGGGTCTGGCTCGGGTTTGGGCACAATCTGCTGCGGCGTGGCTTGTTGCTGCTGCTGGCCCAGCGTGGCACGGCCCGCTATCATTTTCGCCGGGACCTGACCGGTGCGTGAATAAGAAACAATAAAACACTATAAGAAAGGTTTCAATTTGGGCATCTGTCTTCTTAAAAAACCTTTGAAGTACAGCTATCCCTTCGTTCGCATAGTAAACAAATAACAGAATTATAGCTGTAATTTCTAAGAAAAAAGAAATCATTTGCTCTCCCATACCAAATTTGCCATTCATTAACAATTCAGCAAAATGAGCCCAAAAAAATTCCAAAATTCTTGGAAAGCATTATCTGTTTCTGTTATTGGTTCCCTATGCCATAAACGTAAATAGAGACATTTACTGTACTTCACAAATCTCAGAAGAGAACAGTAACAGGTATGGTAGTATCGTACAGGTTTTATGGCCGTTTCGAATATGAACAATTATGAGAGAATCAAAACCTCCAGATGTAGTGTTCGTCTTCTACAGGACCAAGCCAAATGGGAGGATGACCTTGAAAACTCTCAAAACAACTAAAATTCAAGACCACCCATATGGAAATTCCAAGTAATGTCATCCACACTCTAGACCTGCATGAAACCACTGAGCCAAATGTGCACCCATAATCTTATCTGCTCTACAAAAAAAAAATTCCATGAGATAATTCTTTTGCGTTTCTTGAACCTGCTAAATTCAGGTAATTCAAGTTTCCTCTAAGAAAACCTTCCCTTTTCCCTGCCCCAATGCTAGAGAACTTTCTAAGAATATGACATAAGGACTTCTGTGCAGCAAGGAATAAGATCAAGAGCATTATTTTCACAATCTGAACAACCTAATCAAAAGGTCAGATGTGATTTCTTATTTCTTTCTTCTTGATCGCATCACACTTCCATATATCACATACTGGGCCGTCCTGCTCAGTTCATCTGTCGGCGCTTTCAGTTTCTCCTGTAATGTCAATGGATTTGGCCACGTTTCCTGTCTCAGGGTTCTGTGTATCTTGCAGTGCTGAAGGATGTGTTCCACAGTTCGTCAGACATGACAGTTTAAGAAATTAAAAACCTCTTCCTTGCGAAAACAGACAAAGTTGATTCCCTATAAATTATCCTGATACATCTTGTTTAAAAAAACCCCCAAAAATCCATTTCCTTCAAGATGATCTCACAGTTCTGTTAGACAAATAAATCAACAGCACATTTCAATTCGACACATGTGGACCCACCTGCTGCAGATTCTGTCGCAGCCTCTGCATCTTCGCATCTCGCCTCTGCTTCATGACCACGTCCTTGGGTTTGTCAAACAGCGACCTCGGCACTCGGGGCTGCTCCTCTTTGCGTTGTTTTTGTTTGCGAGCTGTCAAGGGAATGAAAAACCAAGACATAAAATACACTGCTGAGCCAAATAAGCAGTAAAAAAAACAACCCAAGTAAACACCATTCATGACAGCAAGTCTGGGCATAACTACCCCAACTATCCCTTTTGTTTTTTCATGCTTGAAGAATACAACCTTCTTTGTGTCATGTCAATCCTAGAAAGAAAACTTCATATGGGAGTGCCATCAAAGAAATCAGATATACCATGGAACCCATAGAAGCATCAAAATGAAAAGGAAGTGTCTACGTACTCCCCGATTGGGGTCTACGTAGTCATGGTGTCTAGGTGGACCCCAAAAATGTTGGATTGTGATTGGCTCGCTGA